TAATTCCAACCCATTGCAAAACTCCAACTTGGACATATGAATCTTGTAGCATAAGCAGAAAAGGCACCAGAGACAGGATAGGCAACACAAAGTTCACCCAAAGCATGGACAGTACAAAACATCATGGCACCAACCAATAACCAACCAATTAACACAGCAGCTGGTCCACCAGTTCTCAAAGCAGTACCTGAACCAATGAACAAACCAGTACCAATTGAACCACCGATTGCAATCATCTGTAAATGTCTGTTTTTTAATGATCTTGATAATGGAGAGTGAGCAGTAGCGTAAATTGCTTTCTCAAGCTCAGGCATATTAGGATCGATTTTGTCATATTCAATTTGTTTAAAGGAATCTTTGAAGTTTTGCCATCTTGATTTGGAAACTTCGTCCTTTTCAGATAAACCTATGGGAATTTGAAAGTTGTTATTAGATGTCTCAGAGATAGTATCTTTTGCTTTGTCAATATCATTCATTTTGAAAATTGAAATTGAAGATGAAAATTTGACTTTTCAGAAGTAGAAAAAAATAACAAATATGAATTCTTTGTTAACTTTTCAAATAGATTTTTGTTTTGAATAAAATTTCTTTAGATCAATGAGAAACAGAACATAGTGAAAAAAAATATTGTGGGCGATGAGAGGGTGTTTTTATACATTTGCTGTTTAAACTTTTCATCTTTTTTGAAAGACGTTTATTGTTCTATGTTGAAAAATTTCGTTTGATTCACTGATGCCATACATGTATATTTTTGGTCTTTTCTTTTTTTCTGTTTTTATTTCTTTTGACAAACTCAGTTTTATTCCACAAGACATCCTTTTAAAAGTGCCTTTTAGTTGGAAACCTTTTTGAGTTCTCACTTGGACTTAAACTTGAGGGTCAACATTGCTGATAGTGGATTTGGGTTTTGAACCAGAAAACCCAATTTTAAAGAAGAAACCTCTTGCCGACGTCCAAATCCAAAGCAAACAGCAAAGAACAGCCAGAAAGTGTCAAGTTGGGGTTTATCAGTGCCTTTTATCGCTTCTGGAGTGCCTTTGGGCTGGCCTTGGGTCATGAAAAGCAGCTACTGCAACAGCTCCTGAGCCAGAGGTGGTTGAGCTGCTGGATTGTTCTTCCAGCTTCTTGCTTCTGGACCAGAGCTTGCTATCAAAGCTGGTTTGGAATGCTGGGCATTATTTGTAGAGAATCACAACCGAATAAAACCATCCTGGGCTGGAGTTATAGTTGCAGCAAATACCTTCTCTTCCAGAGCCTATTCTTCTGGACCTCTGTCTCAAGCCTGAATCTTGTGCTGGTGCTGCTGTTTTCAGGAAACCTTCTCTAGAGCTTTGCGCCCATCGTACAACTATTGTTGGTCGAAACAGAGTTTGTTGTAATTGGTTTATAAACAATATTGGAACAATAAAACTCTAAAGAAACTTCAACAAGGCTGAATTAAAGGGGAAACAAAGAAACGTTGAATGACATTGCACAGAATTGTGTGTGTTTTCCAATGGAATATTATTGATAAGTCGTTTTCCAGAAATTGGCTTTTAGATAAGCTAGTATCAACGAATCAGAAACAAGATACATTTTAATAAGAGTTTTCCTACAAATCCGTATATGTAAACTAGCGTGTTTAAAAGGGCTTTTATTATTTATGTAAAGAGAAAAACAAAATGAATATTATGAAATATTATGAGATGAATGAGTAATAAAATTTTTTTTATTTTAAAACAAGCAGAAAATATAACAATAGAAGCTGTTGAAGATAAATTTATACTTAAGAATATGAATTGTAATAGGCATGAGTTAAAACGTTAAAATGAACATGGAAAAAAACAATAAAAAAGGTAAAAAAAACAACAATCTGAAATGAAAGAAATTAAATTAAAATGATTAGAAATTAAAGTGATTAATTAAAGATTTATTTCAAAAAATATTCACAATATTCATTTTTGAAAAAAAGAAAGAAAAATCTAAAATTAAATTAAATTAATAAGAAACTTCAAGATTTTCAATCATACTAACTAAAGCAAAATAATGAAATACAATTCCAAGTAATACACATAAATGCCAAAAATTATGAGATGAAAAGATATAATCAACCCACCATAATGAAAAAAAATTTCCATGATTTTTAGTCTTGATTGGTTGTAGTTTGAAAAATGTTTCATGTAATTTTTTTTCACAGCAACTGAAACTTAATTTATCATCATTATTGTCATGATTTTGAAGATTATTTTGAATTTTAGCCAATTCAGATTGATATAAATTTTCGTTTAATAAAAGTTTACCAATTTTAATATCGGATCTCCATATTTCAGGTATCAAATAACCATAAAAGACAATACCAATAAGATACCAAATTAAACTTTTACATTCAGGTAGAAAATAAACAAAACTTCTGAAAAATCCATAAATGAAACAATGAATTATAAATGAAAAAATTCCTAAAAATGCTAAAAAACAGAAAAATCCTATTCTTAGAAATTTGTTTTCATTTTTGTCAAAGGTTGGGCTCCAGTTTAACAATAAACCAGAAAATCCAATCAATGAAGTTGAAATAATAAATAGTAACTTTTTAATATAATGGAATTCAAATGCGATAATTTCAATTGATATTATTGAGCAAGTTATTAAGATTGTTATACCAGTATAATCAATACAAGCGCATGTTTGCCTTAAGTTCAAATTAGTGGTAGCAGAAAAAGTGTGCCAAGAAACAGAAGACAATAGACAATTAAGGGAAGATAACAAAAAAACATAGACAGCGATTATCAAATTGGTATTAATGTGATGGAAATTATTTTGAAATAATTTATTGGGAAAATGAATGAGCATTAAGTAGAGTAAGAAAAAAGAACCAAATAAATGGGACCAAATATTTGCGGATTCGTTATGATTTAAATGAAGAATAGATTTAAGGCAGGTTGAATTTTTGTTATAAAATCTGTAACCATGAATTATATAAGGGTTTTCTCTCCATTCAAAGGGTAGTTCATAGAAGTGTAGCAATCTTTGATTTGCTACAGATAATGCATTTGAAAAAATTTGAGTTTTTTTATTTTTAATAAAGTTGATTTGAGTTTTTTCATTACCAAGTAGATTATCATTATCATTGTCATTATCATTGTCATTGTCATTATCATTATCATTATCACCATCACTGTCAGTTTGATTAAGTTCATTAAATTCATTGATTTGATTAGTTAAAATTAAATGGTTGAAATTTATTAATTTATCATTTAAATATTGAATTAAGTTTAACAAATTTTGGTTATCTGGATTTAAAATTATATTCAGGTTTAGAAGATCTTTAAAGAGGTTGACATTATTTTTAATTAAATCATTTAATATCAGCAATTTTGAATTTGTCTGTTGAAATAGTGAATTTCTAAATAACTGAATTATTGATATAAAATTATTAAAATTATTAAAATCATTGAAATTTTGATTGTTATCATTATAAAAAGTGATTAAATTATCAAAGGTTAAATTGATTTTGTCTAAAAAATTGTCTAAAATCTTTATAAGAATTTCATCTATAGTATCATTTGAAGTTATAACTTTATCATCATCAAAAGCATCATTTATCTCATCATTATTGTTACTTTTGGGATTGGTATGGCTATTTTGAATGTTTTTATTGGAGTTATTCAGTACATTCTTTCGACTAGAAACTACAGTTTGACTAGTAGAAGAAGATGTTGATAAGATAGTAGCCATTTTAGATAAAGATATAAATGTATATCCCTATAAAAAAAAAATTAAAAAAAAATTAAAAAAAAAGCTGATAAAGTTAATAAGTGAAAAAACAGCAGAAAAAATTAATGAATTGCTTTTGCTATTGTTCTCAATGATTTATATATCTGGATTTTGAATAAACAGTATTGCAACTAAAATTTAAAAGAAGGTTCACTGGTAAGAACAAATCCCCGAAGCTGATTGGGTTTCTAAAGGTATTTTGGTAGAAGCAGTCTAAGTTGAAAAAGTTGTTCAGAATGCCCAAAGGTTAGTGATTCTTATTGCATTATCTTTTAGGTTGGAGAATGGGTGCTTAACAAACCTACTTCAGCTACAGCAGGTTGGACTGTGTTCTTTCTAACAAACAGCAGCCAGTGGTTAGAGTCTTCTTCCAGTGCTCTTGCAACAGAACAAACAGAAGATGGTGCACTCTCCAGAGGAAGAAGAGAAAAGAGCCTCTATATATACCTTTCCCCAGCTCATCCACCACCTCCACCAAAAGCCCTTTCGCAGAGGGCTGCAGCGCATCGCGTTCTGTCCCAAACACGCCCTCACGCTGCTCCCGCTCGCACAGGGCTGTGTCTGGAGGCTGTTTTGCTAAGCAGCGCTGCTGAGCCCCAAACGTCCCATCTGTGAAAACTCTAGCGTGATTTTTCAGAGCCAGTTTTATGTGTCTGCTGCAGCTCCACTTCTTGCCCAGCAAGCCGGGTGTGGCTAGAAACCGCTCTAGCAGCCAATCAGAGCAACTGCAAACGCACATGTACGTGACTCATAATGCGCGCTTGCGATTGCACGCATGGAATGATTTTGAACCGTTCTTTCCAATCAAGACCCGAGGGTCGGTAGCTCGTACCCGCTCGGATCTCGCACTCTGATCACGTCTGTTCTAAAACGGTAATTATCCGTTGTTTATCGACTTAGAGCCCTAGCTTCGGGATAGTTCCTCTTTAGGATAAATATTTTATTTTTTTGCTTTCCATCATTTTAAACTTCCGGTTTATTATCCAAGATGGCTCTAAAGGATGATTTCTCTCGCTATGTATAGAAGCTTGAAAGTTCTTGGACTGAGTTCTAATTTTCTTATTTTTTGACCATGGTTTCTTCTTTCTCTGCTCTATATTTTTCCAATGATTCAACAACAATCTGATTTAACTGCTCCCTCAAATTCTCCAGTATCCGACTCATTTTCCGAAGATACTAATTCTGTTAGGAGTTATAATAATGAAAGTGGTAATAGCAACGATAATCAGCACGATACCAACAGTGTCACTCAAAAATTAACCAAAATTTTATCTAGGAAATTGACAAATCTTATAGATGAAATTAAAGATGAAAATTATCAAAATACTCTAGCCGAAAAAAGCATTCAAAATGATAATAATAAGTTATTATTAAAGGATTTGGAACTTCAAGATGCCATCAAAATTGCAACTATTAAATCGAATCTAGATTTAAAAAGGAAAAATTCTCTTTCTTCTATGATTCACAATAATGATAAAAATAATATCAACAACATAAACTTATTAAATCCCAATGAACTAAGCTTGGTGTATTCAAAAGATGTTCACGATCTTTACAATATTAATGATAATAATCATAAAGATACCTCTGACGATAAAAAATCATTGAGTTCACAAAATGAATTAAATCTAGATCTACCTCCAGACGGTGGATATGGTTGGGTTTGTGCTATCTGCTCCTTGTTTATAATGTTCTCTACTTGGGGCTCAAATGCTTCCTTTGGTGTCTTTTTATCCTATTATATTAACAATAATACATTTGATGGGGCGACTAAATATGACTTTGCTCTAATTGGTGGTATAATAGTCCTACTTGCTCAAATACTAGCTCCAGTTGCAATGCTTTCAACTCAAATTTTTGGCTTTTATGAAACTTTGTTTTTAGGTGTTTTCTTGCAAGCCTTGGGTTATATCTCTTCTAGTTTTGCTACTCAAATTTGGCAACTATATTTATCCCAGGGTGTTTGTGTTGGCATATCATTTGCCTTCTTATTCATTCCTTCAACAATTGTTTTACCTACTTGGTTTCTCAAAAAAAGAGCAACAGCTATGGGAATCGCTGTTGCTGGAACTGGTTTAGGTGGTTTAATATTTGCATTGGCTGCTAATAAATTAATCCACCAAACTGGTGATCAAAAATGGGCTTTAAGAATGGTTGGAATTGTAACCACTTTCGTTTCTTTAATCTCTTCAATCTTAATAACTCCTAGAAACTATTGCAAAAGTAAAATTTCTTGGTCAAGATCTAGACAACAATTCCTTATCATATTTGATATTTCCGTCATTTATGAGCCTTCAATTCAAATTATAGCATTTTGGTTTGGTTTAGTTCTACTAGGTTATATCTTGATTATTTATTCCTTATCTGACTATGCAATCACAATTGGTCTATCCCAACATCAAGGTTCTGTTATTATTGCTGTTTTAAATACTGGTCAGGCTGTTTGTAGACCTGTTTTAGGTATAATAGCTGATAAAATTGGTAGAGTCAATTTTACAATTATATCTCAAGCTTTAACTTTTATATTAATTTTCGCATTTTGGATCAACGCTAAATCCTACGCCCTGTTAATTGCTTTCTCCTTTTTAATTGGTGGAATTGTTGGTGTAGGCAATTTAATGAATGTCCCTCTAACTGCTGATTGTGTGCCCCCTGAAAGATTTCCTGCTGCTTGGTCTTATGTCAGTATTGTTGTCAGTATTTTTTGTTTAGTAGCAGAAGTCATTGCATTGGCAATGAGAGATTATTCTTTAAAAAATCCTTATATTAATACTCAAATTTTTTCTGGTTGTTTATTTGTTGCTGCTATTCTAATTTTATTACTTTTAAGAGAAATTAAGATTAAAATTTTGCTAAAAGAGAGAAATAAACACAATGAAGAAAATATTCTTTATTTAGAAAAAAACAATTCAAAGATCCAAAATCAAGAATTGAAGAAATTTATTGTAAATAATGAAGAAGTAACTTGGGAAAAACTTAAAAAAAGAAAAAGAAATTATTTTCATCTACTAAAAAATACCCCTAAATCCTATTTTAAAAGATGTTTTTTCCCAGCAAAAATTTGATAATATTATTCATTTTAATTTTTTAATTTATCTTGTTGTTTATTTGTTCATTTTTTTTTCGATTTTTGGTTTTATTAAATCTATGTATTAAATCAAGGTATTAAATCGATATAGATATCAAAATTGAAAACAATCAAAGGCAACAAGAGAAAATTTTCTTTCTTTTAATCATAGAAAATCTTTTAATGAAAAGATTAAATAATTTATTGATTCTTCCCAATTTTCAAGCTGTGTTTTGTCTTGGATGTGTTCCCAATTCAGTCTTAATTCAGATTTATTATTACTGAGAATTTCTTCAAGTGCTTTAATTAAATTTGGCATCCAAGTTTTTTGAACTTTTTGCATATAGTCCTCATTTGATTCATACTGTTTAATATATTCTTCAACAATCGAAAATTCAATATAACCGAGATCAAACAATTTAATTTGTAATGGTTCAAATAAACAAAGATTTAAAATTGAGAGTATGATGATTTTTGAACTAATTTCAGTATCTAATATTTCACCATTTTGAACTTTATCATTAAAATCTGATAAAGAAGTTTCTGTTTCTTTTGAAAATGATTCTTCATCAGGATTTGAATCAAATATTTCTAAGATTAGGTCGTTTATATAATCATTTGAACTCCAAAAATTTATTTGCATGCTGATTTTTAATAAATTTATTGATGATTTTATAATTTTATAATTTTTGTGTATATTTGAATTAAAAGTAGTAGTAATAGTTATGATATCAATTTGAATTTCTAGTTGAAAAAAAAAAAGAAAAAAGTAAAAGATTAATAAAAAAAATTCTACTTATCCAGTATAACTAAGCTATTTAATCAGTATATATTTTAATTTAAATAAACAAGTGTTTAGTTATTTAATTGTTTAGTTTTTAATTATTAATTTTTAATTTTTAATTTTTAATTTTTAATTTTTAATTTATTTTTTTCCTTTTCTTTAGCATTATTATAACATGCCACTGAAACTCTTAAGAAATAGTAATTAGGTTTAAATACAGGTTTAGTGTCTCAAAGATTTAACGATCTTCTAAGTTGTTTTTTTTATTTTTTTTATTTTTTTTTATTTTTTTTCAATCAAAATTGTTCGATTAAAGTTTTGGTAAATCCAAGATAGTTAAAGTGATTGTTTTGGATGGAAAACTAAATTCTTAAAGTGAACTAGGTCATACAATTTTTTTAGTACAAAGGAAAAATGAAGGCATTTTGCATGAAATTAAGAATGTATAAACAATAAAAATGACATTAAGTATTTTGTTTATAAAAAAATTCCTCAGTGATAATAATAATTATTAAGTGGGATTTGGTTGAGATGTAAAGATCTATGGTAATTTAAACAATGGCAAACTTAAATGGCGAGTATTATTCTGTTAAAACGTGAAGTGTTTAATAACTTGAAATGTTGAAATGTTTGAAAGATGGTTTGAGAATAACAAAGTATAGTTGAAGCATAACGAAAATGGTTATAATTAGAGATATAAAATTTTTGTTTTTTAAACAATTTTTTTAAGAGACAGGTGTTATTGAGGGCTTTTAGTGTGAATAAACTTCAAAAGAGGACTGTTAGATTATTTAAGGCTGTGAAATCAGCAATTAAAATAAAAAGTTGCAGCCAAAATTAAAAAAATAAAAAAGTGGAGGCTGTTGTGGAAATATGGTGAACTTACTTACCAAGAAAGTAGAAGAGTATGAAATATAATAGTGATATTAGTAGAGAATTAGAGAATTATTGTCTCAATAGTATATAGTAAAGCGAATTATAAAAAAAAAAGTTAATCTAAATTTATTTAATAAAAACAGAAACAACAACCCAAGATTACGAGAAATCATCTTTCTGTAAATATTTTTTCATTAACTCTGACAAATTATATATGGTTCCTCTCCATAGGTCTCTTAATTCTTATCTCTTACTAACAATAATTTATACGCATTTAGTAGATTTAGAAATGAATGTTTTCAGGTGATTGATTAGTTGACGGTTATTGGAAAGTCTTACGAACCATTTAGTTGCTATTTGTTCAAATGAATAAAAAATCAACGCTCAAACCGGTTCTGAAATCATGTAATTGACAAGAGCTAAAATTAAAATGCAAGTTGTAATGAGAGCATACTCGTCATCAGAATTCAAATATTCCATATTGTTTAGAATTTTCAAAACCACATTCTGGAATCTTTCCAAAATTTTGTCAGTCTCCAAATGCACAAACTCTTGCAAATAATCACACGAATCATTGTTTTCGAACAATCCAGTCCCCCAGCAACCTATTTTTTATAATTTTATAAATTGCACAAATAATTGAGCCCAAACTAAAAGAAACAGAGAGAAGGTCTGAGGAATAAAAACTGATATAAAAAGCAGCACAAACCTGATGTTGCTGATTCTGAAGAAGAGACACAGAGAAACTGCTACAAACTGCTTCCTGTGCTTTTCTGTAAGAAAGAAAAGCTGGAGCACTGCAATTTGATGATCTTCTCTACTTTTCAACCCAGATAAAAATATTTTTGCATTTTTCCTTGATGAAATTGACTGAAATAAACTGAAATAAACTGAAATAGATATAGCTTTATGCATGTTAATGTAGTTATATGCACTTCTATGCAGGGTCTTATGTAGAGCCTTTACTTGCTTTTATTTTTGTTTAAATTGTTTTTTTTTGTTTCCAGTCCACAGTCGGTTTGGCATAAGTGGTTGAGCATGAGTGGTTGAACATAAGTGGTTTAGCATGAGTGGTTTGTGGATACTGGTTTGTTCTCAGTGCTCTGCGTTGAACCAGTCTAGTCTGGCTCTGTAGGCTCTGATTTTCCGCTGAACATCGGTAAGTGGCATTCCACAACCAGAAGCAAACAAGCTGCTTATATTTAGGTCTTATGGTGTTGCACAGCACTTGTCCCCATAACCCCAGACCCAACGACAATCGAGAAGCACAGCACCAGAGAGAGCATTGTGCAATGCTGTGTAGAGCTGAGAGCTGAGAGCAGAAGAGGGCCTTTGGGCCAGCAGAACAGCCGCCAGAAAACGCTCCAACACCGGAAAAATGTGCTGTGAGGAACAGCCCCAGAATTTAAAAATAGCTTTGCTGATGGTGGTTTATCTGACAACTCTTTCCAACATAGCCAAACACACCAGTCTGTAGTTCCATCCAGCGTATTATATTTCTGGCATATACAACCGCCTCTCGATACTCTGCATATAACAGACACACTGGTCTCTTCCTACGCTTTTGATACAGTTAATCTACAATTTACCAATGAAACTATCACTCTGCTTTTCTATCATACTGTTGATTCCACTAGTCTTCTCATTGCCCTTTATTGAGGAAGAACAGGTATCTAAAAAGTTGCTCGGTAGGTCCCTAGATTCTCCACATATTGAAGATTTAGCTGAGTTTGGGTCTTCGAAACCATTCTCTAATATGGGCTATTTTCATTTAAAGGCTGAGAAAAAAGGCTCTAATTGCACATACTCAGACAAATGTATAGAATATAGTGAACAACTTCTTCTTTCAAACTGCTCTGGTTTTCTATCTGACGATTCTGAGCTAACCAAATTCTACACCTGTGCCTGTGCTCTTTCAGATGCTTACTGGAAGGCAAATTACAGATGCTTCTACTGTGTCGACACTGTTCATGAAGAGACCCTCAACATAATCAAAAACGAATTGTGCATGGATTACACCAACAACACAGATGCAAAGAACTCAACCTTTACTGATGCCACTCTTTGCAATCGACTCACCAATGCTTGCTATCAGCTCGAAGGTTTGGCTGCCTTTAAATGCGATTCGTACTTCAGTGATAACGACTACTATGAGTGTCTCTGTGCGTTATCCAACGAAGAATACTGGAACTCTGAATTCGAATGCTATCTGTGCTCTGCAAAATACCTGGCCCATCAAGTCGATCTGTACAAAAAAGACGTCTGCATTTCTTTCAACATTAAATCAACCAACCCAACAAACTCCTCTGTATCCTCAACTATATTGTTACCAACAGTTTCAGAATCAAAGTTGCAATCAGAATCAGAATCAGAATCAAGTTCAAATACAGGCTTCAGCTCTAGCTCCACTTCTAATTCTGCTGCCAACTTTTCTGCAACTTCTCTGCCATTTTTCTTATATGTGTTTTTGCTATTTCGGGTTGTTTTGCTTAATATTTTATAATTAAAACAATTAGATTGTTACCTAGTTTTTACAATCATGTTCTTTCTTTCTTTCTTTTGATATGTTCAGAGTTGGGCTTTTGTTTTGTTTTGTTTCTTTTTTTGTGTTCTTTGTTTTGCATTTTGATTGTTATTACTAAATAGTCTTCCATAGTTTTAATGTTTTTTCAAAATCATTTACTTTCTGTCGAGTCCTTTATCAAATTGCTGAACTATCTTTCTGTAAATCAACTTGAATAAAACACTTTTATAAAAACAAACACAGTAATGCACAAAACTGTGTTTCTGTCTGATATTTCTTTGCCTCCTTTTTGTTGTCCCTACAAATTCAACTTACTTATGCACTCGAATATAAAAATGTTTATTATATCACCATTACAATTGTTTCTTAATATTTATAAACAATGGTTAACAGAATAGAAAAATTAGCATAATAAGAATATTTACTTTTATTCAAATATAATCACAAGCAAAAGCTAAAATAAAGCAAAAAATTGGTATTTTTGAATCTCCACCAGCAAATAGATTATAGATAGCAAAATTAAAATAGAATTTATAATTAGAGTTTGAAAAATATAGGCATCAAAAATATAACCATCAGAAAAATAAAAAAATAAAATGTCAAGACAGGAAAAAAAATACTGAGAAATCCCGAGAAAAGTGAACGTGAAACTGAAATTAAAATAAAGTTGATATTGGAAATTTTAATAATAATAAAAAAAAAAGGAAGGCATGCCCTTCATTTTAAAATCAAAATTCAAATCAACTTTTAATGCAAATTTTTGAGCCTTCTTGAAGACGCTTTAACTCATAAGCGCTTTTAGTAGCTGAAGAAGTAGTATTAGGTGCTAGTGAGCCGATAGCAGGAGCAGCAACAGAACCTGCTGGTTTTGCTCTATTATGCTGCATATGACTTTGAACCAAATGGCCTGCGGCTAAAGCTGAACATAATGATAACTCGCCAGCTAAAACTGCACTGGCCACAATCTTGGCCAATTGTCTTGCATTTTCTCCAGGATTTGTTGGGTGAGGTCCTCTAACTCCTAATAATTCTAACATTGAATTCTGTGCATCCAAAATTGTACCACCTCCAATTGTGCCAACTTCAATCGATGGCATAGAAACTGAAATTTGGAGACTACCTTCTGGATCTTTATGCATTAATGTAATACAGTTTGAACTTTCAACGTTTTGGGCTGGATCTTGACCAGTTGCTAAGAAAACAGCTGTGACTAAATTGGCTGCATGAGCATTAAAACCACCAATGGCTCCTGCCATTGCAGACCCAATAAGATTTTTGCTTATATTCAAATCAATTAAAGCGTCAACATCACTTTTCAAAACTCTTTTTACAACTTCAGCAGGAATTCTAGCTTCTGCAACAACACTTTTACCACGACCGTTGATCCAGTTAACTGCAGCAGACTTTTTATCAGTACAGAAATTACCAGACACTGCAATCACTTCCATACGAGGAAAACGATATTCAGAAAGATATTTCAAACAATGTTCAGTACCTTTTGAAATCATATTCATACCCATAGCATCTCCAGTGGTTGTTCTAAAACGAACGTATAATAAAGTTCCAGCTAAAGCGGTAAAGACATGTTGTAATCTTGCAAATCTTGAGGTTGAGTTGAATTGTTTTTTCAATTCTTCTTGACCTTCATCGGAATCAATCCAAATTTTAGCCCCACCTGCTTCTTTAAGAGTTGGGAAACGAACACATGGACCTCTAGTCATACCATCTCTAGTTAAAACAGTAACAACACCACCACCAGCGTTAATTGCTTTACAACCACGCATAGCAGAAGCAACCAAGCAGCCTTCAGTTGTTGCCATTGGAATGTGATATGGTTTTCCATCAATGACTATTGGACCAGCAATACCAACAGGCAATGGCATATAGCCAATTACGTTTTCACAACATGCACCGAAAACACGATCATAATCGTAATGAAGATATGGCAACCTTGAACTTTTTAATACGGGGGCATTTGCCAATTGAGAGATTGCTTTTCTACGAACAATAACAGCTCTAGTATTATTACCTAATCTTTTTTCCAAGGAATACAAGGGTATATTGCCTTTGAAAACCAATTCGGCAATGTTATCGTTACTTAATTCTACTAACTTGCCAGATTCAAAATATTTCAAGGCTTCTTCATAAGATTTTTTAACATGAGCGTTATGATCATATTTGGAGTCGGATTCATGTGAATGTGATTTATGAGAATGAGGGTGTGAGTGAGAACGAGAAGTGCCATTAACAGTTTGATCATGAGCAGTATGTGGAGGTTTTGTGATTTCATTGCTTTTGTTATTGATTAAATTTTGGTTTTTTGTTTCAATTATGTCGTTTTCAGAAATGATGGGTTTTTCGTGGATAATTGGTTGAATTGAAGATCTGACATCTCTGGATGGATAAGAGCCTGATGAGGAGGTTGTATGAGATGATATACTAGCAAAGGATGCTCTTCTTGATAATTGACCAGGGGTTGAGGGGACCGATTCAGATATCATTCTGTTGTATTGTTGGATTGGTTTATCAAGGTTGTATAATCTTGCAGCATTTAAAAGGTAAATATTAACAAAAGAGCTTACAAAAAAGGCCAATAATAGGAATTTGCTGATGAATCTATCTCTAATTGAGCCGGAGATTAATTCCAAGAAATGGACAACGTGGTCTTCAACTTTATAGAAAAAGTTATTTTGAGGCAAGTAGATTAAAGGTTCGAGAACAGTTAAAACTATACCGTTGTTGTTTTGGGTAGCAGAGTGGTGTTCGTGAATGGAGTTTAAGTTGAATTGACTTGCGATATTTAGAGATAAGAAGTGGATATCGTTAACTTTTAATTTAATTGATTCGATAGCAGAGGAGCTGATCCAATTAGTCTTGAAAAACCAGAGTTGAAATAGGACAAAGGCAAGAATAACGACCAGTTTAAAGATGGTTATAGTTGATTCATTTGGGGAGTCGATAAAGACAAAGTCATCTTTTAGGGTTTGATTTGCGACAGATTCAGCTAAGAAGGAGTCGACGCCTTCTTCTTCAAGAGCGTTTTTAATTGAAGTTGATTGATGGATTAAATTGATTTCGACTTTTAGAGCCAAGATTGAAGCGAAAAAGGTAAAGGTTAATAGGACGTTGAAAAAAAGAAATAGAGCGCTTAGAATACAAAAGTTTTTCAAAGCTTCTAGTTTTGAAGCATATAGCGAGCAGCCGATTAGAGATATTATGAACAACAAGTTGTCTCTGATGAAGGGAATTGATTGAACTTTGATGACTTTGAAAATCAAGTTTCCAACACCTTGATCTAGTAGTTGGTTGTTTGATGTGCCGATAACAGCAGAAGTGATCAAGACCATGTTGTTAAAACCAACGATTGAAATTAAAAAAGGCAAACCTTCTGATATGGATAAGAGGGATACCTTTAGGGATATGATTTTTGTTGTGACGAATAAGGCGAATAAGAAGGCAATTACGTTTGTGGATAATACAGCTAGAGGCAACCAAAACTTTGAGTTTGCTTTTCTTTTCATGTCGTAGAATAATTTTGCAAAGGTGAAATACATTATGAGGTAAACGATTGCGACTATAATGATGTCAAAGGTTTCAGCGCCTTTGATCATGGCGAGGAGTTTTTTGTAGTTTGAGGATAGTAGTTGTTGGTACTGGCCTATTCTGTATTGGTGAGAGATTTTCCACATTGTTGAGTTGTTAGGAGATTTTAAGAGAGAGAGATTGTTATTGATAAGAGATTCCAAGATATCGTTGTTGTAGTCTAGGACGAGGTAGTTTTCGTTAAGGGCGGTAGAATCGTGGACGAGATCGATGAAAAATGAGTCAGAATGAGAGGAAGAGGAAGAGAAAGAGGAAGAAATATTAGCAGAAATTGAGTCAATTAGGGATTGATCGAAAATTGGTAAAAGGGATAAATCATTATTGGAAATAGTTTTGAATCTCAAGGGTAGTAAGGCCAAGTGAGTTGAGTTTTGGTAAAGGGAGTTTAAGCTGTTGAAACTCTGGGTGATATCGATCCAATTATTAACATCATTAAAATTCAAGGATGAAGGCAAGAAATAGGAATTTAGATTGTTGAGGGAATTTGTAGCATCAGCAGTATGGTTATTTGAGGAATGAATGAAGTATTCGTCGACTAGAGATAAGTAGGAGATGATTGAAAATAGGGCGACAAACAAAAGGGTATGAATAGGTTTTAGAGCACTTATTTTTGAGAGATAAGCAGCAATAACGGAAGCAGTTTCAAAACCAGGGAATGCCATGTTTGTAATGGGATAAGGGTATGGTAGTGTAATATTATGATATTATGATAGAGTATGAGTATGAGTATGAGAATAAATCAGTAGTGAAATAAAAAAAATGAAAAAAAAAACGAAAATGTTGAGTCGATGATTGGTAAAAGAATAAAAAGGATTGGGCGATTAACTCTGGAGAGGAATTGTAAGTGAATCTAATGGAGGATTGGGGTAGAGCTGGGCTTTGTCGGTGAAGAAAGCGTTGAAACAGAGAACTGTTGTGATGGAGCAGTCAATTACCCAACGAGAGGCCAAAGCAGCAGAAACACTTTGATATAAGGAGAAGGAGGAAGGAGGAGGAAGAAAGAAGAAAGAGAGGGAAAGAGAAGATGCTGCAGGTCTTTTCACCTCTTTTAAACTCTTTGGAGTGCAGGGGAGAAACTATACGATGGGTTTCGTCATTAAGGGTTTTTCTCCGCCCAGCCCCAAAGCAGCAATTTCAGGATGGCCGCGAAGGAACGGATGGGCGAGCGGAGAAAATCGCACTCAACGCATTCGTGGTTCGATAAATGAAAGAGATGGTGAGATGGTGGATGGTGAAAGGACAGTCAGAAGACAGTGCTACGGCTGATAGATAATGCTTAGGGGGGNGTGTTTATTCGACTATAAGACCATTGCGTGTGAGATAATTTTTAGATGAAAGTGGAAGAACAAAAAATGAATACAAAGAAAGAGAGAAAGAAAGAGAGAAAGGTAGTTTTGAAAATAAAAAATGCCTAATGATAAACTCAAACAATCAAAGAAAAACCTAAAAGACTACCGGTGTTTCTATTATTGACTGGATAAGCTTTGTGAGTTGAGATTGATTATAATTTGGCAGAAATGTATTCGTATTTGTCATTGACCATTTCAACGACCTTTTCAGCGATACCGAAAGACAATTCATGGGCCATAGCACCTGCACCGTAGGCGTCGATCAAGAATTTGTTGCCTTGCTCTTTGATCAAGACTTTTGATAATTTCAAACCACCTTTTCTAACGGCTCTGATACCAACATTGACTTTTTGGACGTTGAATTCACCTTCTGGGCTCAACAATTCTTTAAAGTAAGGTTTGGCGCTTTCGATCAATTCTTGGGTTTCAGATGCTCTTTCAAATGGACACAAGTCGTTGATTTGTTTGGTACCACCGATGATGAAACCACCGTCAATTGGTCTCTTTAAAACGTAGACAAATTTGCCATCGGAGTGTTGGATGGTGAGGGTCTTGTTGTAGTATGGGATTAATGGTGGTTTGGGACAGTTTGGCTTGGACACAAGCAAAGTTTGAGATCTGACAAAGAACACTTCAGGATCGTAACCACCGTAGTATTGCAAACCTCTGCCGGTAGCGTTGATTACACCTAATATGTCGGAAAAGTCAGCAAAACAACTGGAGGCTTCAAAGACTTGTTTGAGCGAGAGGACATCCAATTGGATGAACTTGACGTTGTAGAAGACAGTTAATCTGTTGAACAAAAATTTCAACAAGTGAGGAGCGTTAACAATCCAGGATTCGTATTCGGCACCGTATTTGATGTTGTTGAATGGAATAACATTTTCGGATAAGATTTTGAAGTCGTTCAAGTTTTGAGCATTGTAACCAATGTTGGTACCAGTGACATAACCTAAAGAGGGTTCTTCGAGATAGTCAATACCCTTGACAAATTTGACGGATGATTCCGGGAATTCAGCAGCAAATTCTTTCAATTTCTTGAAAGTAGCTCTGTTCAATTTCATTTCAAACACATCTTGGTCGGAGTAGGAAGGAATTGGTCTGAAGTGGGCACCAGCAAAGGCTGAAGCGTAGTCGTAGGAGTACTTGGCGTCGGTTGGCAAGTTTTTGGCAATGATCAAAACCTTGTAGCCCTGTTTGGACAACTCATAGGCAGTAGTTAAACCAGTGATACCAGCACCAACAACGATTACTTTTTTATTATTGCAAACAGCCATTTTAAACTAGAAGAAAATCTGGGGAGACAGAGGATAGGCGAATATAGACAGGATTAAGCTGGAATAAAACGAATTAGAGTCGCTAGAATCAATAGAATCAATGGTCTGAGAAAAGATAAAGAGGAGCAACGAATCAATTGGAAATTGCAACGAATTTATACCATTTTGTTCCCTCCAGTTTCCCACCTCCCAGCCCTGGCCTTGTTGCTCCTTTCCAGGCCCTGGTGTGTGGGTAAAAACTCGCTCCGACAACTCACCCAGTGGTCTGTTACCGCACCTCAATCACCTGTACTTTGCACCGTGTCCCGCGTGCCTATGCCTTCTGCTGAGTGAGATGCTGCGCGTTGATTCGCCCACTGAGCTATGCACGCTGTCAAACGCGTAAGCCTGCACTTAGACGCGTTCAACCTGCGGGCCCTGACGCTGGTGTGCGAACCATTCGTCTGACAGAGCCTTCAACAAGTGTTTTTTCTTAGGTGAAATTTACCACCAATACTGTTTCCACCAGTATTTGCACCAGTGTTGTTTCCACCGCCATTTCCACACAAATATGCTGCCACTACGTCCCGGCTCCTTTCCTTCTCACTTATTGTTTCACCTTGAGGCCAGCTATCAACTTCAGGAGCCGACACAATGCACCTTTTTTTAGAACTTCTAAACCTAAACACCCTGATTTTTTTTCTGACTTTTTCCCAAATTCTTCGATTTTTCATTTTTCATTTTCCACTTTTCACTTTTTACTTTTTACTTTCCATTTTTCACTTTTCAGATCCACCTGTCTTTTCAGAATATCAAAATTAAATCAAATTAAATTTAAATCTCACTATAAAATATAAAAAAATATAACTTCTTTCTCTTATTAAAAAGGTTATCAATTAAAACAAAAACTATAGACAAAAAAATAAAGAGCAAAAAGCATGAATATTGTCATTATCCCCACATATTTTAAATTATACTGATTTTTTTTTTATTGGTTGTTTTTTTATTCTTCTTTAGCACCAATTTTACCAATCTTAACCAATAAATCTCCAGCATCAACTGCATCTCCTTGGTTGACTGAAACATCAGTAATATCTCCATCAGCAGTAGCTGAAATAACCATTTCCATCTTCATAGCGCTTAACACTGCAACTGCATCTCCCTTCTTAACATCACTACCCTTGTGCACCTTCACTTCAACGACAACACCGGCCATTGGAGCTCCAACTTCATTTGGATTGTGAACGTCAGCTTTGGGTCTGGTGACAGTTTCAACAGCTGCTTTCTTATCAAGAACTGGAACCTTTCTCATTTCACCATTCAATTCATAGTAAACTTCTCTGGTACCTTTTTCGGTTAAATCACCAATAGCTAACATCTTAAGAATCAAGGTCTTACCCTTCTCAATGGTAATATGGACTTCTTCTTCGTATTTAGGTGGAGCCAAGAAATATCTGGTTGGTATAACTGACAAATCTCCATATGTATCTTGCATCTTCTTAAAGTCTTCATAAACCCTTGGGAACATATTGTATGATGCGATATCACACTCAGAAATATTCTTACCGAATCTTGCAACCAAATCATTCTTAATAATTCTCAAGTCAAATGGCTCTAACTCTAAACCAGGTCTAACAGTCAACTTTCTTCTCTTGCCTCTCAACACATCGGTTCTTAATGGCTCGGGGAATCCTCCATATGGTTGACCCATCAACCCTTCAAAGAAATCTAAAACTGAATCTGGGAAATCTAATGAACTGGCCAATCTTCTAACATCATCAGCTGTTAATTTGTTGGAAACCATAAATTGGGCCAAATCTCCAACAACCTTGGAGGTTGGGGTAACTTTAACAATGTCTCCCAACAACAAATTGGCTTCTCTATAAGCCTTCTTGGTCTCAGCCCATTGAGCTCCTAATCCAACTTGTTGAGCTTGGAATAATAAATTGGTCAATTGTCCTCCTGGAATTTCGTGAACATAAACTTCTGGATCAGGTCCTTTCAAATCAGCTTCAAAACAAGAGTATAAAAGTCTCATTTGTGCCCAGTAAGCATCCAACTCTCTAGCATGTCTCAAGTTGATACCAGTATTGATATTACCTTCAACTGAGGCTAAGAAAGCATACATTGATGGCTGAGATGTCATACCAGACATGGAGTTGGTGGCAACATCAATAGCATCAGCACCAGCTTCAGCACAGGCAATCATGGAAGCAACACCAGTACCAGCGGAGTCATGGGTGTGAACATGGATTGGTAAGTCGGGGTATCTGTTTCTAATTGACTTGATCAAAAGAGTGGCAGCTGATGGTTTCAATGTACCAGCCATATCTTTGATACCAAGAACATGAGTACCTCTCTTGACAATTTCATCAACAAATGCCAAGTAGTATTCCAAGTTGTACTTCTTACCTGGTTCTAACATATCTCCTGAATAACAAACAGTGGCTTCTAAAACACCACCAGCTTTCTTGACTGCATTGGCACCAACGGTTAATTGTTCAATGTCATTAAGAGCATCAAACACTCTGAAGATATCAACACCGTTGTTTTTGGCATGTAAAACGAAATGGTCAATGGCGTTGTCTGGCAACGAAGCATATCCTAAACCATTGGCTCCTCTTAATAACATTTGGAATGGGATGTTTGGACACTTCTTTTTCATTTCTCTTAATCTAACCCATGGGTCTTCGTGTAAGAATCTCATGGCAACATCAAAGGTAGCACCACCCCAACATTCAAGAGAGTATGCGTTTTCTAAAGCGTGAGAGGTAGTTTGAGCAATAGCCAAGATATCAGCAGTTCTAACTCTGGTAGCTAACAATGATTGATGGGCATCTCTCCATGTTGTATCCATGATAAGACATCCATCGTATCTTCTAACAGCTTTGGCAAAGGCTTCTGGTCCTTCTTTGTTGATAATGTTCATCCAACCAGTAGAGGAAGGCTGGGTGACATCAACAACGGATCCATCTTCATTGTGAAGAACTGGGATAATAACGTCAGTATTTAATTTAGGAGCACCAATTTGACCGGCAATAGATGAACCATTGACAGCTAAATCGGCCAAGTAGTTTAATAATTTTTGAGCTCTGTTGTTTGAGTGAACCATTTCGAATAATGATGGAGTATCATCGATAAATGTGGTCCAACAGTCACCTTTAACAAAGACTTCATTAGTTAAAAGAGCAATAAGGAAAGGAATGTTGGTCTTGACACCTCTGATTCTGAATTCAATTAAAGATCTCAACATCTTTCTTCTAGCAATTTCATAAGTGGAACCGGAACAAGAACATTTAACCAACATGGAATCGTAGTGAGGAGAGATGACAGCGCCAACAAAACCATTACCACCATCTAATCTGACACCATTACCACCAGCAGATCTGTAGACTTCAATTCTACCAGTGTCTGGTTGGAAACCCTTAGCAGGATCTTCAGTTGTGATACGACATTGAATAGCAAAACCTCTAGTGGTGATTTTGTCTTGCAATAGACCCAATTGGGCTAAAGAAGCACCGGCAGCAATTTGAATTTGAGCAGCAACAATATCAACACCAGTGATTTCTTCAGAGATGGTATGTTCAACTTGAATTCTTGGATTGATCTCGATAAAGTAATGTCTGTTTTGCTCATCGACCAAGAATTCAGCAGTACCAGCATTTCTATAGTTGGCGGTTTTGGCTAATTTGACAGCGTCAGTTAAGATAGCATCTCTGACTTCAATTGGCAAAGTTTTAGCAGGGGCAATTTCAACGACTTTTTGATGTCTTCTTTGTACTGAACAATCTCTTTCAAATAAGTGGACAACGTTACCATAAGAATCGGCTAATAATTGGACTTCGATATGTTTTGGCTTGTCTAAGAATCTTTCGATGAAACAAGTACCATTACCGAAAGCAGCTTTGGCTTCAGAGGTGGCTCTTTGGAAGGCATCAGCAATGTCATCACCTTCTCTGACGACTCTCATACCTCTACCACCACCACCGAAGGCGGCTTTGATGATGACTGGATAGCCATGTTTGTTGACAAAGTCTTGAGCGTCTTCAACGTTTTCAATTGGACCTGGGGTACCTGGAACAGTTGGAACGTTACATTTGGAAGCTAAGATTCTTGCAGAGACTTTGTCACCAACAGAATCGATAACACTAGCTGGAGGACCAACCCAAGCAATGCCATTTTTTTCAACTTTATCAGCAAATTCCGAGTTTTCAGAGAGGAAACCGTAACCTGGATGGATCATGGAAACGTTGTGCTCCTTAGCAATTTTAATGATTTCGTCAATTTGTAAATAAGCTTGAACAGGAGAGAATTCACCCTTTTCACCGATAACATAGGCTTCATCAGCTTTCAATCTGTGCATGGAAAGACGATCTTCATGAGAGAAGATGGCAACAGTTTGCATGGACAATTCGTGAGCAGTTCTGAAGATTCTGATTGGGATTTCACCTCTATTGGCGACCAAGATCTTGTTCATCGAACCCAAGATGGTCATATTATCTCTAATATTTCCAAGGTTCTTTGGAGGAGGAACAGCATAAGATGAGTCAATTTGATGAGTTTGCATTTTGAGATAAGATAATTATGTAGGTTGAATTGATGTAAGTAGATTGTTTGATATTGATTTGCTGATTATACAAGAGTAGAATAAAATAGAATGAAATAGAATAGAATATGGAAAATTAACAGGGAATAGTTATAGATAAAGAAAATAAAATAAGAATGGCAGTAGGAATAGGAATAGGAATAGAATTGATTATTGTAAATATATTATAAGTCTCGTTAAGAAAATCCGGGGGAGAATGACAGTGAGATTCAAGAAGAGACAAAAAGACTACAATATAATATAATAATCAAGAAGATTAAATAAAAATTGTTGTTAGAGGAAAAGAAAAAAAAAGTATTGAATCTGGGGAGAATTTAAATTGTATTTATACAGTTGATAGGTGAGAAGAAAAAGTAGAATTAAATGGTGATTCTGATATTTCTGATTTGAAGATGAGCAAAAAGTGGAAAACCATCAGTGAGTAAAGATCCAAAAAGCAACACGTTTCTTCTTGCAGAGGGGACGCGTCACAGATTAAATGGAAAACGCAGCAAGAAATGGAATATGGAGGAAAAAAGACCCAGAAACCGGAGGGATTGACCCAGTGATCTAATGGCCACTGCTTGCACGAGCAATACAGCGCTCTAGTTGAGACTCAAACCCAGGCCCCGGCGAGCAGCCAATCAGCAGCGCCGAAAAGGTGCAAATGCTCTCACAGCTGATACAAAACCAGGCTGTATGTGTGCAGATGCGCTCAAGCGTGATTATACGTGCAGTGCTGTGCGCAGATTTCCCGGCTGGGATCAGCTCGGAGTGAGCTCACGTGCTGTCTGAGGGATTCTTTCTCGAGGATTTTGTGGAGTGGATGGGGACATTAAGATTGTGTTGGGAGGAGCGTGCTTATTCTGCTCTGATTCTGCTGCTGGGATGTTCACATAGACTCGAACTTAGATTCCAGCCTGTTATTATCTGAATGCGCTAAGCGGCGGAGTGCTGCAGAACTCTTGTTTCTCCCCCACAATTTTTCTATCTTGAAGCCTGAAATATCACAGACACCTGACGGAAACCTGACTGGTGCTTGACTGATATTTCTTCTGCTGTGATCAAATCACAAAGCTTTTCCAACTGGACTGGATATTGATCTGGCAATACTGGTATCGAATTATTCACATCAAAATATTTACTCAAGCACCATTTCTTCTTGCTTTCCCCATGTTTTTCTTCGATCTGAAAAACTCTAATCACTCTGCTGATGCCAGTTTGCCCAGCTCTTGAACGTCCATCCTCAAAAAAAGAAATGTGAAGAGGTATATGATATCACAGACAAGTAATCAAATAATACTCAGATTCACTTGCAAAATACGTGCACTCTTTTACTACACTTAACCAAATAATTGTTTCATTTCAATTACAAAACCATAATGTAAAAACTTTCTGTCTTTCAGGAGGATATTCAATTTCTTATCCGACATGCTCTCAACTTTCAAGCGACAAATTCACCATCTCGCTCTTCTTTTTTCACGAATATATTGCTTTAAATTCCATTGGTTTATCATTAAAATCAATCTTTTCCAATTTGTTTAAACTTACTTTTCCTCTACTCTTTGTTATTTTCCATTTTGCTTCCAATTTATCGACTTATTTCCAACTTGCTACCGAACTTTTTTTTCAACTTTTTCCTTCTTTTCCACTGTTCGCTAAAGCCCCTACCTCCTCTTCCTTTTTTTCCCGGGCTCTGCCAAGCTTCTGACCAATCACGGTGTTTTCCTCCACATTTTATTCTTATTTTACCCCAGATTTGATTTGATTTTCAATAAAATTAAAGTTACCCCAGATAAAATACTCTTTTCAGCTATTTTGCTGATAAGACTTTTTTTTTTTTCTGTATTTTATTTTTTCTATGATTTTCCAACGATAAAATTTATTATTTGATAATTTTCTTCATTTTTTGTTTCTTGGCCAATAATTTTCATTCACCTGTTCTCTCATTTTTTCTATCCATATTTCTCTTAATATTATATAATATTATAAGATACTTTTATCAAATATTATTATTTTATTTTTTATTTTTTCTTTTCTTTATATACTAAACTTGTTCCTTTTTTAATGTTTTCAAAAACAATTTATTAATCTCAATTTTACTAACAAAAATTGATATTGTATAATAACGATTATCAAATTATTATCAAATTATTATCAGATTGTCATGAAATTATCATGAAATTATTATGAAATATGATAATATTAGTTTAAATATAATAGTCTTCTATTCAATCGATTTTTTTCACTCGCTTACATGAACTTTTATTACAATTACCCTATTTTAATTTGCCGCAATATACTCTTCTTTTTTCTTTTTATATCTCATTGGAAATTTGCTTTTGTAATGGAATAAATATATAAAAATATTACTCTTTTGAATTACTTAAAACTCTTTCCATATTTAATAGTTTTATTATATTGCCATTTGTAATTAATTAATAATTAATAATCGATAATTGATAATTATGATTTTATTATACTATTATATTATTATTTGATTATTTAATTTGATTATTTGATTATTTGATTTATTTCATAATTTTGTTTGGTTATTTGAATTAAAACCCATTACTGCTAAAACATTATGCTTTATTAAATTTTATTTAAACTATTTTAAATCACTTTATCTTTCTGTTGATTTTTAATTTTAATTTTTAATGCTTTATATCATAATTAATAATACTATCGATTATAATAACACATGTATCACTTTATTTGAATGGAAAATTACATCTATTTATACAGCCATCAAAACGATTCCTTTCTTTGCTAATGACTCATGATTTAACCATTTCAGCCATTTTACTCAATTCTCCTGCATGTATTAAAAAGAACTTTAGAGATTTATTCTCGTTAAGGTAATTCTTCAATCAATCTCTGAAATTTTAAAAATCAAACACTGTTTTCTTAGCTCTTTCTTCCTATTTGAAATTGAATCATTTGACTCAATTTGTTACCAAACATGGCCCGCTCTAAAAAGGAGATATGGAAGAGAAATTATTACCAACACCAATAGCAACATCTTTTTAATCACAAACTCCAACCAAATCAATCTCCATTCTCGCTTTCATTCCTGTTTATTTATTAATTCTCTATTACTTGGTCAACTGATGTCTTATATTGTAACTGATCCCTCGCCTTCGTTCATCTGCAACAACTATCAAAGAGCTTCAAATGCAAGGCAGTATAAGCTAAGAGTAATTGCCCAAATAGTAGATTGTGTTTATGATAATCTTTCTCATTATAACAATGTAAATAATAATAATGATAATCAAAAATCATTGATCGAGACCGGATTTCAAAATTTAGAAAGCTTTTTCATTAAAATTGGTTCAATCCCAACTTTTTCATCACATATCGCTAACAATAATGACAATTATCTTGTATTTAAAATCAATAGCGATTTAGTTGAAAATTTATTAACAGGAGACTTACATTCCACCTCGGAAAGCGAATTGTTTCAAATTGGCTCAATAATTGAACTTATCATGTTATATAATGGCGATATCAACGACTTGAATTTAATTGAAATTTCAAATTTAAATGGTGATTATAGATTATTGAATAATCTGAAAAACGCTGAAATTTTAAAAACAATGTCAAGTAAGTTATCATCATTAAATTGAATTGAGTAAAACGATATAGATTGTGTTCAATATAAATTAATAAGCAATAAAATTAATTTTTAAAAAAAAGATCCTTGGAGCTTCAATGTAATAATTTAGTATAATTTCTACAAATGTCAAATGACAGGCTTTAAAATAAAAAGAAAAAAAAAAGAAAGAGAAGGGATATCAAAATATATCAAAATATATCATATCATATTATATCATATTTGTGCTCAGTTTTATATTCTAGTCATATTAGTGTTATGACATATAATATAATGTGATAAAAGGAATTTGTTATAAATAAATTTTAGATTATTTTTTTAAGAAATTTTATGAAATAATTGAATTAAAATTTATAGAATACATATAAAACAATTTTTTCAAAAAAAAGAGTAAATTAAAAGGCCAATTTAACGAAAAACCATTTATTTTTACCAGTTTGGTATCTTTCTTCAAATACTTTTTTGACGACTTTTTTGGCTTCTTCTTTTTTCGAAGGCTCAGTGAAAGTTTCAGTGGTGAGATTAGATTTGAAGTTTTCAACGTCTAAAGTATAACGAGTTGGCATGAGATGGTTATAGTTTATAGCTTTGATAAATGGTTTAATTTTTGATCTTTTAGCAACTTTTTTAGAACCCATAGACTTGGTTACCTTTAATGGGTATCTTTCAATACCAGCAACAATAGCATGAGGGAATTGATGAGCCTTTGAGCCATCGTCGTATTGTCTAACAATTACGACTTTTTTACCGGCATAACGACCACGAGTAATAATAGCTAAAGATGAATGATTAGTAAAGTGTCATATTTAAAAGAAGTAGAAAAAAAAATACCAATGAAATTTGTATTGATTATGTTAAGATTCAAATTAAATAGCAGTAAAAGAAACCAGTCCAGTAAACAAGTCTATGAGATTTAGGAAAAAAAATAAAATTGCGAGGGATTCCCTTTATGTTAGAATAGTTAAAAATAATTTTGTTTCTTCTAAGATATACAGAAATAACCAGAGTCTATGAATTGAGTAAATATCATTTCTCTTTTATATTTTAAAAAATGAGTTAATAAAGTTATTTGGGATTAAAATTTCCTGCTATGAAATTTTATAAATTTAAATTTAATAATATAATGGGATTTCAGTAACAGATTAAAAAAAAATATTACGACCTTTAAAGATATTTCATTAGGAATTTGATTAGATTTAAATATTATTTTACCATTTTTATTTTTTTTTAATTAAAAGAGACCAAGGAATATGCCGGTGTTTTTCAATAATTAGAAACTAAAATTACAGATGAAGAGTAAATCAGTGATTGCTGATTGAGACAAGAGATGATATTGCAAGATTGCAGATTGCAGATTGTTGTTGGCGTCGGATCTAGTCATAGTAAGCAAACTATTGAAATAATTGAAAGATTTGTGTTGGATTAAGACATTGGATATTGGAGGTTGACTGCTATTAATGAAGATTCTATTGCTGTGTGCGATTCATGGGTGGTGGGAATAATGTACTTACCAACTTTGCCTGATTTAATAAATTTGACCATTTTTAATATTATGTTTGATTTCAATTACTTGATTATTATTTTGCACTCTTTTTTCCCTAAGCAAAGTTTCAAGAATATATCAATATATTGTTCACTGATATTGGCTTTGCCCTACTATTCACAACAGACGAAATTTTTCCAGCATCATAGAAAGATGACACGTGACGGTACTGATGGAGAACCTTGGATATTTGCCCAAACGGGATCACGCACCTAAGAGCGACTGAAAAGTTTGGAAAATGTTGCCCGGCCGGCACAGCAGTCACAACAAAATTTATTTTGAGATGTGTCCAGAAAAAAAAGTCATATGCAATTATAGAGGGCTCTAACTACAAACATCAAAGCCCTATTCTCTCATTACGTAAGACTCGATCAAGGGTGCAGCGCAGATCCAGCATCGCGGGAGAAATGAAAGCAAAAGCAGAAGCTGAAAGAAATATGTGAATTTGACATTTTTCAGGGGAAGGATAAAAATGCACGAATATTCCCTTGAACAGGTCCAACAATGTTGCAAACCGATCGATATTCCAGACGGGAAATAGTCTGATACAAATCATACCGAATTTACTGGCTGAAGAGAGTCTGGGAAGAACAGTCCGAGCTCGGAAAAGCTCTCTCTGTTCTCTTTTCCTTCAAGTTTTGACACTTTTCCCTCTAGGACCTCTCCATTTCGGCTTTCTGGGTAAGATCACATTTGTTCCCTGCGCAACCTGGAGCAGCTCACACATCACCACTTGGACTGGGAAAAGAAAACCGATGTGTGCATGGGCCTCAGCGCAGGCGTGAGAAATATGGCGAGACTGCGCTTGCGCAACAAGCGGTCAAATGAAAAGGCTGCCATTTGTAACAAAAGATGACAGTGCGACGACAACTCGCAACAAGCTCAGTGAGCCTGGTATGGATTCCCTATAGCCGGCTAGCACTGCGCTTACATACCATGGGCGTGTGATTGGCGGGCTCTCGTCCAGCTCAGGAACAGGAGCAGCGCAGGCTAAGCGCAGTGTGGCCCGCAACGCAGGAGGCTGCCTGCGAGCCGCCAAACACGCAAAGTTCCCCATGCGCCGCTCAGCTCAAGGCCCCGTTGGGTATGGGAGTGCTACAAGATCTTCGGATTTCGACTGTTTTTTTTCCTGGGCCCGCTGGGTTTTGGTGAGAGATGACTTTTATCTCCAGCATCTTTCGTTGCTCTCTTATTGTTCGATCTCCCAGTTTTTCTATCAAGAGAGAGAGCTTCAATTTGTCCGCAACTGCATTTGTTGCACTCTTTTGGGGACTCGATCTCGATGCAATCTCAATTACGACTTGCGTCTTTCTCCAATGGCCCAATTGTTATATATAACCCATATCTAATCCTCCTGCCCTGTTTGTTCTTTTGTCTTTTTCTATCCCATCCTCTTTTTTTTTCTCTTCCTCGATCCAAAGCAGTAAAGGCCTTTAATGACCCCAAGTGCTCTTTATTTCTTATAATTTTACTCAAACCTGCAAACTAAATTAGAATCTCGATTACCATCGATCCGATCCCATTTATTCACTATCTTGACTGACAAAAAAGTAAACAGTCTCGCATTTATATTATAATATACTCTAATATAATCCAATTCAACCCTACTCATTGGATCCAATTCCGCCATAATTAATTATATTTCATTATATTACAGAAATACAATATCAGAATAATATTCCACAATGTTATCTGCTCGCTCAATCTTATCCAACAGTATCAACCGTACCTCTTTAGCTTCCTCCTCAATTCGTGGGTTAGCTACTGCTTCCTCTTCTCTAACTCCTGATTCAAAGGTTCACATGAACTTGTTGGAATCCCACTCTTTCATAAATTATAAGAAAAACTTGGAAAACGTTAAAATTGTCCAAGAAAGATTAAAGAGGCCTTTAACTTATGCTGAAAAATTATTATACGGTCATTTAGACAATCCACACGAACAAGAAATCGAAAGAGGTGTTTCTTATTTGCAACTTAGACCAGACAGAGTCGCCTGTCAAGATGCTACTGCTCAAATGGCTATCTTGCAATTCATGTCTGCCAACATGGACCAAGTTCAAACTCCATCAACTGTCCACTGTGATCATTTAATTCAAGCTCAAGTCGGTGGTCCAAAGGATTTGGCCAGAGCCTGCGACTTGAACAAAGAAGTCTACGATTTCTTAGCTACTGCTTGTGCCAAATATAACATTGGTTTCTGGAAACCAGGCTCTGGTATTATCCATCAAATTATTTTGGAAAACTACGCCTTCCCAGGTGCCTTGTTAATTGGTTGTGATTCACACACTCCAAACGCTGGTGGTTTAGGTCAATTAGCTATTGGTGTCGGTGGTGCTGATGCTGTCGATGTCATGGCTGGTTTGCCATGGGAATTGAAAGCCCCAAAGATTCTTGGTGTCAAATTAACCGGTAGAATGAACGGTTGGGCTTCTCCAAAGGATATTATTCTTAAATTGGCTGGTATCACTACTGTCAAGGGTGGTACCGGTAAAATTGTTGAATATTTCGGTGATGGTGTTTCCACTTTCTCCTGTACTGGTATGGCTACCATCTGTAATATGGGTGCCGAAATTGGTGCTACAACCTCCACTTTCCCTTACAACCAATCCATGGCTGCCTACTTGAACGCCACTGGTAGAAGTGACATTGCTAAGTTTGCTGACATTTACCAAAATACTTTCTTAAAAGCTGATGAAGGTGCTGAATATGACGAAGTTATCGAAATCGACTTGAACACTTTAGAACCCCACATCAATGGTCCTTTCACTCCTGATTTAGCTACTCCAATCTCAAAAGTTAAAGAAGTTGCTGTTGCAAATGGATGGCCATTAGAAGTTAAAGTTGGTTTAATCGGTTCTTGTACCAACTCCTCTTACGAAGATATGACCAGATCTGCCAACATTATCAAAGATGCTGCTGCTCATGGTTTAACTTCAAAGGCTTTATTCAACGTCTCTCCAGGTTCTGAACAAATCAGAGCCACCATCGCAAGAGATGGTCAATTGAAAACTTTCCAAGACTTTGGTGGTGTGGTCATGGCTAACGCCTGTGGTCCATGTATCGGTCAATGGGATCGTCAAGACATCAAAAAGGGTGACAAAAACACAATTGTCTCATCCTTCAACAGAAACTTCACTGCCAGAAATGATGGTAACCCAGCTACTCACGCCTTTGTTGCTTCTCCAGAAATGGTCACCGCCTTTGCTATTGCTGGTGACTTGAGATTTAACCCAATCACCGATAAATTAAAGGACAAAGATGGCAATGAATTTTTATTAGAAGAGCCACATGGTGAAGGTTTGCCAGCTAGAGGTTACGATCCTGGTGAAAACACCTACCAAGCTCCACCAAAGGACAGATCCACTGTTACCGTCGCTGTTTCTCCAACTTCAGACCGTTTACAATTATTAACCCCATTCAAACCATGGGATGGTAAAGATCCCGAACACTTACCAATTTTGATCAAAGCCGTTGGTAAAACCACCACTGATCATATTTCCATGGCCGGTCCTTGGTTGAAATACAGAGGTCATTTGCAAAACATTTCAAACAACTATATGATTGGTGCTACCAATGCTGAAAACGGTGAAGCCAATAAAGTTAAGAATCACTACACTGGTAANTACGATGGTGTTCCAGAAACTGCTCTTGCCTACCGTGGCCAAGGTATCAAATGGGTCGTTATCGGTGATGAAAATATGGGTGAAGGTTCTTCCAGAGAACATGCTGCTTTAGAACCAAGATACTTGGGTGGTTTCGCTGTTATCACCAAATCTTTTGCTCGTATCCACGAAACTAACTTGAAAAAACAAGGTTTGTTACCATTAAACTTTGTCGACAAAGCTGACTACGATAAGATTAACCCAGATGATGAAGTTGACATTATCGGTTTAACCACTTTTGCTCCAGGCAAAAACTTAACTTTAAGAGTTCATCCAAAAGATGGCAAATCTTGGGAATGTGAATTATCTCATACTTTCAACGAACAACAAATTGAATGGTTCAAAGCTGGTTCTGCTTTGAATAGAATGGCTGCTATGTTTGCCGCAGAAAAATAATCTTAAAATTTGATTTTTCTTCTTTTTGTTTTATATTTTATCTTTCATAGAGCATGTTTATTTCTTGTTTTTATTTTACGATTGATCGTTTTCAGTATAATTAATATTCTTCAATAAAAATTGTTTACCAAAAAAAACCCACTGAGAATTGTATTTCAACCAAAATTTTTATCAGAATAAAATTTTAAAAATACTCCTCAACTTTCCAACTGGCTATGATAACTGGCTATGATAACTCGATTATCTCCCACAATATTAAATAAAAAAAAAGCAACAAACTAATAAACATGTTTACAAATTTATAGAAAAAGTTAACGTTTAAAATCAACAAATTAATAAAATGGCAATAATCAAAAGAATCGCATTATTAATGCAATTACAATACAATACAATACAATACAAAAACCAGAATAGCAAATAAGTAGCAAATGAAAATCTAATGGAATACCAGATAAATAGTGGATAAATAGTGGATGAATAATAGATGAATATGAACTGTATTTTATTAACTAATTAGAATCAAATTTATATAAATTGCCACAGAAACTTCTAACATGAATGGGTTCACAGAATAACAAAGCGCCTAATGAAACAAATGAATTAAAGATTAAAGCTTGGGAGCACTGAGCTCGAAAACAGATGGGGAAAAAAAAGGAAAAAAGGAAATGATAAAAAAATAATAAAAAAAAGGAAAAAACAAACACAAAAATGTAAATGTAAATGAAAATGAAAATGAAAATAAAAATAAAGATGAAAATGAAAATGAAAATGAAAATGAATTTAAACAGGAGTAAGAATCAAAACTCCAGCTAATGGTGCTTCACTCAAAAGCAGGTGTCTCCATGTTCTCAGTTTCAGTCTCGGTCTCAGTCTCAGTCTCAGTCTCAGTCACTCTCAACCTGACTTTTCATGTTGAGTAGACACTCTTTGCATGGCAACAAGGAAATCTTCAACTGATCTTTGAGGTGGTTGTTCTTTCAATGGCTTACCATTCATGAATCTATCAAATGATCTAGACTCAGACATCAAAACATAAGCACCTCCCATAACACAGAACACACCAAACGACCAGATCCACACTCTGACAACTGTCACAACATCGGTCCAGTTTTGAGACCACCATCCGAAAAGAGTGAAACAGGTAGAAATAANATCAACAATAAAGACTGCACCAGCCAATTGCCACGATGGAGCTGATGACCAGAATGGTCCATTGGCACGAGTGATAAAAATCAACCAGTTTTCAGTAAGAGAAATTTGCAAGAACATCACACCATCAATAGATCCAAAGTTCTGAATAATACCACCCCTGGGCAAGAACATAGTCGACAAACAGATCCACGATCCAACAGCTAAGATGATACCCAATATAATAGACATACCCCATAATCTTGGTAAATTCCACTTCACTGGACTTTCATCA